GGAATGGGGTTTTGGGGGGAATCTGTGGGGTTTTGAGGGGGATCTGTGGATTTTGGGGGTGCCCCGTGGATTTGGGGCCAGTTCTGTGGGTTTTGAGGGGGATCTGTGGGGATTTGGGGGGTGATCTGCGGGTTTTGGGAGTGCTGTGTGGTTTGGGTGCTCTGGGGTTTTTTGGGTTTTTGGGGCTTGTGGGTTTTGGGATCTGTGAATTTTGAGGGGGATCTGTGGGTTTTGAGGGGATCTGTGGGTTTTGGGGGGGATCTGTGGGTTTTGGGGGATCTTTGGGGGTCTCACAGCTCCCCTGCCCCCCTCAGCCCAACATTAGGTTGAAGCCCCTGACGAGAAGCCTCCAGAATGGCTGGGAAGGACGGAAAAGATGGGAAAAAWGGGAAAAATGRRAAAGARGAGAARGACGGAGCGACGGCCGGCTGGGATGGGATCGAGGAACGCCTGGAGAAGCTCCAGGTGAGCCCTGGGGCCCTTTTTGGGGTCTGTCACCCTCTGGATCCCACTGAGGTGAATTTTGGGGGGTCTGAGCTGGATTTTGGGGTCTGATCCCCTCTTTTCCCCAGGAAATGGCCCTGGAAATGATCCCAGCTCCTTCTTTTCCCAGGAAATGACCCTCGAGGGGCTCCATCCTTATCTCAACTCTCTCTTTTCCCTCAAAATGACCCCAAATTCCCTTTTTTTCCCCAGGAATCTYTCCGTGACCCCTCCCTGCCCCGCTCCCACCGTGTCCAGTCGTGTGACCGCGCCCTGCGCTGGGTGGCCGAGCAGCTGGCCCAACCCGGTGGACAACCGGCCCACGGCTCTCTGCTGCTGGCCCTGGCCCAGGAGGCCACCGACACCTACCTGAGACTGGTCCCTGTCCCCCARCACCTGTACCTGGAGAAAATCCTGTTCCACGTGCTGCGCAACGCCGCGCCCTGGGCCGGCACTTACACCTGGACCGTGGCCGAGCTGCTGCGGGGRCGGCTCGCCCGCTGTGACCGCCGTGACGGCGACTGGGCCACCGTGACTTCGGGAGCCTTCGGGGTGCTGTGGCGAGCGGCCGCCGCGCTGGCCGGCCCCGAGCGGCCACGTGAGGAGGGCAGGGCCGTGCTGAGGGCCAGGGTACGCTCGGTGCGCTTCCTGCTGCTGCTGGACTCGGCCAGATCCGGGTCAAAATC